TCAATAATAAGAAGGTAAACAATCTAACTTAAAAAATAGTGGACAAAATATTTTAACAGTTACTTCATCAAAGAAGATGTACATATGGCTAATAAGTATATGAAAAGATCATTAATCACTGGGGACATGTAAATTAAAACCACAGTGAGATACCACTACCTGCCCACTAGCATGGTTAAAATGAAAAAGACTTAATAACTAACTAGCTTTAGCGGGGCTGAGGAGCCGTTGGAGCTCTCATACGCTGCTTGTGGGAATGTCAAATGTACAATCACTTTAGAAAATGGTTTGGCAGCTTCTTTTAAGTTAAACATACATTTACACACACCCAGCTATTCCACCCCTCAGTATTTACCCATGAGAATTGAAAACACAGGTTTACACAGAGACCAGTACACAAATGTTCATAACAACCTTTTTTTGTTAGAATTATATGAAAAATATTTTTAAAATTGTTTTCAGCTTCATCGAGGTATAATTGACAGATAGGAATTGTTCAATCATGTGCCATATGGCAATATTTCAGTCAATGACAGACCACATGGATGGCAGTGGTCCCAAAAGATTATAATAGCATTATTTTCACTGTACCCTTTCTGTATTTGGTATGTTTAGAGACACAAATACTTACCATTGTGTTACAATTGCCTGCAGTATTCAGTACAGTAACATGCTGCACAGGTTTGTAGCCTAGGAACAAGCAAGCTTATATCATATGACCTAGGTATGTAGTTGGCTATACCATCTAGGTTTGTGTAAATACGCTCTGCTGTTTGCACAGCAGTGAAACCGCCTAACACCACATTTCTCAGAACATACCCTTGTCATTAGGCAACCCATGACTGTATATATTTAAGGTATACAACTTGATGTTTTTCCTAACAGGCTTATTCATAGCCTAAATACTGAAAACAACATCAATGGCATTAACTGGTGAATGGAGAAACAAGTCACGACACATGCACACACTGGAACACTACTCAGAAATAATTACTGATACATGCAACAGCATGGCGTTTCTCAGAAGCCTCATGCTCAGTGACAGATGCGAGACTCAAATGGCTACAGAATGTAGGATTCCATTTATGTAACAGCCTAGGAAAAGCAAAACTATAGAGACAAAAAACAGATGAGTAGCTGCTTGCAGGCGGGAGGAAGGGATTGACCACAGGGGAGCATAAGGGAACTTTTGGGGTGATGGAAATGTTCGGCATCTTTATAATGGTGGTGACTATATAACTATATTTATTAAAACTTGTCGCGGCCCGGATTGCAGAACGGGGGATGGACAAAGAAAGAAACACACAGACACACACAAGACATACAAGACTGAAGTAGACAATTCTACCAGTCGCTTTATTATATAGTTTTTCTATGTCCCGCAGCTACTTCCTGGTACGTGACTACCTTGGGCGTCTTGAGGAAACACATTTTCATTCCTTCCAGACGATTGCTTAAGGGAAGCAGACGTTTGCATCTTAACTTCTTGTATCTTAACTTCTTTATCTCGTTACCGTGTGCAGGACAATGAGATGCCTTGGCTTGTTTGCAAGACCCCAGGCGCTTGGTTATCTGTCATAAAGCTATCTGTCATGAGGAATAGTTCTGTTTGTCCAACAGGCCGTGTGTGGACCTGTTGACCTCTGGCGCCAAGGAGAGCACGCCCAGTTTCGCCGACTCTGGGCTTAAGCCAATTTGCCCAGGGACGGCCCCTACAAAAACTCATCAAACTACACACCATGAAAGAGTGAATTTTGTGTGTACCTTATACCACATCATCTTAACTTTAAAAAAAGTTTGATCAAGTATTATGAAGTTATAAGCAAATAGTGATTTTTTTTAAATCACATATGAAAAGATTTTTTTTTCTCTCCAACCCCCCGTAGGCAACGTTTCATACTCCGTTCAGCCACCTGGGCCTAAGTCCAGAAGGATGCTCCTCTTACACTTTCCCCAAGATAATGAGCCCAAGCAAGGTAAGTTTGGAAAGCTTAAAAATAAAAATGTAATGAGTCGTCTCTATTCTAAAAGTAATCTCATACTCTCCCTTCTTTCCTTTGCTAATATGGACAGAAGAGATAGAAACTAATTATTTGCTCCTCAGCTCTTAAGGGTTTTACGTATGGAGAAACCAGGCTGTGGAAAGTGTCTGGTATGAAGGAAATTAGACATTCTCTGCAGCTCCCAGAACTGGGATCCTCCACCTTCAGCTGGTTGCCTAGTGCCACTGCTTGCAAGCAGCATGAGACCTTGTCCCCCACAGCTGAGCGGCTTCGGTCAGTTGAAAGACCAGGGCTATGCCAGCTCTCTGGTCTGCTGAGCTCAGGGGCCACTGAGTTCCTTTATGGATGACCAGTGTTCCCTCAGAGAGAGACGATGTTGTCTTCACTTCCAGTTGTGTGAAGTACCAGCGGGTGTGAGGCTTCATGAGGGTTTACCCCTTCCACAGCCACTCTGAACCACAACAGCCTTCCCATCAGCCTGTTTTGCCAGTGCCATTAAGACTCCCAGGGTGGGTAAGTGGCTGCTCAGGTCTGTCACTGTGTTTATGGAAACCTACTTGCCCGTGCTTCTGTGGCATGACTGCAAGGGGACTGTAACAAGACCAGAGAGCCAGGGCATAGGGAAAGGCTTTGCAAACATCCTTTCATATCTCAAACGGTGTGTGTTGAGCCTGTTTTCATAGACTATTAGGTTTTTGCTGTAAATATATACATTCTTTTAAATCTCATTATGCTGTCCCATAGCCTGAATTGTTATGCAGGTTTGAACTTTGGAAGGTTGGGCAGAACCAACTCGAAGTCTTAGAGCATTTGGCTATGAAATAGTCTTTTCTTTTCTGGAAGGGGAATTGCAAATGCAGAGAGGATATCCACTTAGCGCCTCAGTTTTTTCAGAAACTAAATGTAAGTCTTCACTTCCCTTCAGGCAAATAAAATTGATTTGAGTACCTATCCAGGTAAAGAAAACTCTCAGAGCCAGACACTGGGTAGAATTTCCAGGCAATGGAATTTTGAAAGTTTCTGAAAGTTAACCCTGTGACCATGATTTTTCTTTCCTTTTTTCCTTTTTTCTTTTGTGATGATTTATAGTATGTAAAACAAATAATCATAGCTGCTGTGGGTTATGGACTCAGCATCTGCTTCAGGTCATTTCTGCCCCAGTCTTGCTTCTGCAACAAAGACACACAGGGAGCAGCAGCCCTCCCAGACCTTCCGGAGAGCCTGTGATGTCTCAGCACATGGTTTGCAAACCACTGCTCATCGAGGTCATCGGCTTCTCCCTTACTGACAAATACCAGCAACCGCGAAAGACCCTGAGTAAATCTCTCTGTGCCTCCTGAAAGCAGCCAGTGCTGAAGTTAATTGAAGCCTTGTCTTATTAAGTTAGTGTCTTAACCTTGCTTTTCATTTCAGGCAGCTGAGATGCTTATTTTTGGAAAGAAGTTAACAGCAAGAGAGGCATGTACTCAAGGACTTGTTACTGAAGTTTTTCCTGATGGCACTTTTCAGAAAGAAGTTTGGACCAGGCTGAAAGCATATGCAAAGCTCCCCGCAAATGTTGGTATTCATCTTTTACTTGTAAAAACCATGGAAACAATTTCCTAAGGGAAAAATCTGCTTGCCTCCAGAGAATGAGTCACAAAAAAGACAAGACACATCTTCAGTTAGCTTTAAGCATGTCTGAATTTGGGACTAAAAATAACCATCATAATGTTGGAAATACAGTGGACCCTTGAACAGTGCGGGTGCTGACCACCTGCACAGTCGAAAATTCGTGTATAACTTGGCTCCCCAAAATCTTAACTCTACTAGCCTACTGTTGACCAGAAGCCTTACCAATAACATAGACAGTTGATTAACACATACTTTGTATGTTACATGTATTATATACTCTATTCTTACAATAAAGTAAGCTAGAGAAAAAAATGTTATTAAGAAAATCAGAAAAAAGGAAATATATTTACTATGCATTAGGTAGAAGTGAATCTCATAAAGGTCTTCATCCCTGTCATCTTCATGTTAGGAGGAGGAGGAAGAGGAGGGCTGGGTCCTGCTGTCTCAGGGGTGGCAGAGCTGGAGGAGGTGGAGGAGGTGGGAGGGCAGGCAGGAGAGACAGGCACACTCAGTGTAACTTTATTGAAAAAAATCCACGTATAAGTGGACCCACATAGTTCAAACTGGTGGTGTTAAAGGCTCAACTGTACTGATTCTTGTAAACTTATGAAATAGACATTCCATTTCTATGATAAGAGGTCAGAGGGGCAGTTCTTGATGGGGATAACTTAAACAGGACGATAGGCAGTATTTTCATATATTTTTATATATATAATCCAGGTGAGAAGCCAGACAGGTTGACTTAACTTTTGGAGATTCTTACTGTATAGCATTTTCATTTTTATAATTGACTGATTACTCTTATGTTCTTGCTGTTTCATATGTGGTTCTGTAACCAGAAGCTTTAGCATCTATCTGGGGCTTTTAGGACATGTGTGATTGCAGGCCTGCCCACAGCTACTGAGGTGATTCACGCGCACATTAAAGTTGGAAAAGCTCTGTCTTATATTACACATGTATCTTAAGACTTAACAGGATTAGTTAAATGAACATTGGCGAAGCAAGAGTCAGAAACACAGAATAGTCCCACCCCTATTAGAATAACTCTTGTTGGTTTTGTTTTTCCAGGCCATGAGAATTTCAAAAGAGGTAATCAGAAATAAGGAGAAAGAAAAGCTACATGCTGTTAATGCTGAAGAATGCAGTGTCCTCCAGGAAAGGTGGCTGTCAGATGAATGCATGAATGCAGTTGTGAGCTTTTTATCCAGAAAAGCAAAACTGTGATGACCATTGCAGCAGAGCCAAGCGTGTCCAGGGAAGGGATGTGCTAGTACTTCTGATTTCCAGTACCTGAGCTAAATAAACATCATTACACCTTTTTTCACTGCTAATATATCCATTATGATGACTATATTTCACCTCAGCCCTGAGGAATAAAAAATTTTATAAAACAAGCTTTAAGAATTCCCGTAGGTTTTGGCGATAGAGTGTCTTACATCTTTGGACATGAATCGTTGTTGCCAGGAACACTGTAACGTGGTGCCTGGGACCCGGCTTTGAAAAGCACTCACAGCGTTGCAAGCTGAAGTCATGTCTTTGAACACCACTATAGCGCTTTGACGTCCGCACGCAGTGACCGACTGGATCGGGCCGAACGCTGACAGCCGACAGATCACCGACTTGAGGTCCTCGGTGGGTTGCATGTTCCTTTTCAGCCATCTAGCAAGGGAGCAAATGGAAGGAGTAGTATTACTGGAAACCAAATAAGAATCTTAGTTCCTTTTTTCACCCCACAATTTAATAAAGAGGCATAGAAGGAAAGTTGGGTAAAACTGATACAAAGTAATGCTCCGCATCAGTATTTATTTCCTTGTTTTGTCATAGAATCCTATTCTTGTTTAATGTGGTATTTTATGAACGGCATGCCTGCAAGCTGCCTTAACTGTCCTTGCAACTCGTTTCGATCAGTGCCATATGTATCACTTGACAAGGGCTGAGGGTGTAATTCCAAAGGTTACAAAAGTGGCATGGGGTATTTCACTTTCTAAACTGTCCTTCCTTTTTGACCTTTCCTTCAGCCATCAGTTTCCAGGTAGCTAACCCCACCAAACCTCTAACTCTTTAGTTCTTAATGTTTTTATTCCAGTAATCTAAATCCAAAATGTTCAGTCTTACAGAAAATATGGGAATAGAAATAACCATTAATTTTTATTGGGCATTTACTGTGACAGATGCTTAATGCCCATTATCATACATTTTACCCCCCCAAAACAAGATGCCAAAAATTTTAAATGAGGTAAGTCCTGTTGCTACTACCCTTTTACAAGTAGGCAGCTTGAGACATGGAGATTGAAGTAGCTTTTCCAGAGTCAAAGTCCCAGTAAATGTCAAAATGGAGACTAAAAATGCAGGCAGAATTTTCCAGTTCTGCCATGGCAGCATAAGCCACCTATTGCCCATCCCTCTGACTAATTACGACTAAAACCTCTAGACATAGTGTGAAAAAGGACTACTAGAGGATGCTGAAATTAAACAAGAGCAGGTGGATTGTCAAAGGATGTCAAAATAGAAGCAACTGTACGGGAATGAGTTTCCCAGATTGCGGGAAATAAAACAATTGCTGGGATCTCTCTCCTGAGCACAGTACTTTTTCGTCAAAGGCACACCCCCATTCTGGAGTGGTGCTATGGTGGCCGTGGCATAGCCAACCAAATAAATGTTGAGGAAAACAAAACCATCTTTCTGGCTAGGAAAAGGATCCCCTGGGGGCTAAAGAGTGACAGTAAGAAGAGAATTCCAGAGCAGAGGGAGAAGTCCCCCGAATTCTGTGTATGAACCCATGGAAGTCTCAAGTTCATGAGGGAAACAGACTCAAACCAACACAGCAAAGGCTTTGAGAACCGAACTGGGATTTTAACTATGACCCACAGAAGATCAAGACAGAGTTTGTAGCCTGAACCTAATCATGTTGATTACTTGCTAAAACAAAAACATCAGCATTTCTCCAGATGACTTCAATTCAATGCACAAAAACACCAGTATTCTCCAGATGGTTGTAAAAGGACCCAGGATCCATGTGCTATAATGATAGTCACAATGTCGAGAATACAATCCAAAATTATTTGACGTACAAAAAAAATCATAAAAATCTGAAAACTCAATTGAAATAGATACTCAACACATGTCAATCCTGAGATGACTCAGATGTCAGAATTGTCACAAAGTCTTTAAGGCAGTTCTATGACTGTGTTCCATGAGGTCAAGCAAAACACTAGAAATGATTTAAAATATATTAATTTTTCAGCAGAGGAACACGAATGATAAAACCAAATAGAAATGTTAGAACTAAAAATCTAAACAATTCACTGGAGGGATTCACTAGCAGACTCTAGGTGACAAATGAGTCAATGAATGCTGAAGATAGATTAATAGTAATTAGTATGAGGAACAAATAGAAGAAAATATTGGGGGAAAATGAATAAATAAAGTGACATCAGCAAGATGGCAAAAACATTGTAGGCCCTCATTTCCCCATGGAAACATCAAATAGGCAACTACAGATTGACTAAAATAACTTGGTAAGGGATATGGAAAACAGTCAAACATCTACTGCAAATAAGTGAATGCCCAATTCAGAAAAAGTCACATTGAAAAAGGTTGGAAATGTTATGGCCTTTTTAGTCACTCTTGCCCCATCCACTCTCCTGTGTGATGCAGTCAGAAGAAATTGACCTAGTCCGCATTCCCTCCTCCAGGATAGAAGGAGCAGAGTGGAACTTGATTGCAACATCCTGGCCTGTCTGTGGGCTGCAAAAGGGGGTGGTTTCTGTATTTCCTGACTCAGATCTCAGACAGAAGCATAATTTTGGTTTCAGGTTGAAAGCCACAGAAGGCAGTGGTGGGCAACGCAGAAGATGAAAACCACACAAGGACTGCAGACCCGTAGACTCCTGAGGGCAAGAGATTACAGATAGAGGAATACAATAAAACACCTGAGGCCCTGAGAATACACTGAAATGATACTCTTTGGGAAATTAAAACATTTAAAAGCAGCTGAGGGGAAGGTTTGGAAAGCACACATTCACCGAAAGGAAGAATGCCTAGAAAAGACCTGAGAAGACCTGAGCTAATCTCAGGACTCATGAACTCACAAAACAGTGAAGGTCTCACAAACCAGTCTGCAAAGACTGAAAGAGTGGCTATTTCTTTTAATGCCCAATTTTCAACAAGGATCAAAAGGCACACAAAAGAAATGGAAAGATGGCTCGTTCAAAGGGACAAAATAAATCTCCAGAAACAGTCCCCAAAGGAACACAGGCATCAGGCTTACTCAGATAAAGACTTCGAAACAACTTTCTTAAATACACTCAAAGAGCTAAAGAGAAACGTGGACAAAAACTAAAGAAAATCAAGAAGACCATATATGAACAAAATGAGAATATCAATAAAGAGATAGAAATTATAAAAAATGAACCAAAAAAATTCTTGCACTGAAAAAAACAATAACTGATTTAAAATTTTCACTAGAGGAGTTCAACAGCAAACGCAAATGAGCAGAACAAAGAATTAGCAAACTT